TATCTTACAATTACTATTCGAATATATTAATATATAAAATATCATATATGTTCTATATGTTGATATATAAAATATAATATATGTACTTTATATTATATTACTATATAAAATATAATATATGCACCATATAAAAATATAATATATGCAATATAAAATGGGAAGTGCTGTATTAAAGGCTTATTTTGACTTAGAATAGAAAATAAACAGGGTTTTGAATCGCAGAGAAGGAGAACGATGATTTTGTAATAAGGGTGCACATTTCTGATTTTTGATTTCTTTAGCCACATGATTAGCTTAAGATGGAAGATATAGATGTGGAAGTTATGTGCTTTCAACACAACGATGTTAGAAATTACAAAATACATAACACGTCTTTTGTTTTGCAAATAACTTCCCGATATAATTTCTCGTTTTAGTGATCCGAATTACCCACGAATTTGTCACGACTGGACTTATTGTAGAGTTGATTTAATAATATCTGCATTGTTTAAAGATTTTTTTGTGAACTTTTAAGTAAAGAAATGTTTTTAATTATTGTTTTATTTTACACCTATTTGCCAACAAAAGTGTCGACTTTTTTTATAGGTTTATTTCTTCTCAAAATGGAGTATTAAAGTGTTATAGTTTTATTAGCTATAGCACTGTTTAAAGGTTACGTTCATTTTATTCAAGATCATTCAACTTGCGTTAAGTGGCGGATAATACTAAGGATATTTCCATCATTTACATTACTTATAATTCAGGCCTCCTCCTTTGAGAGGTTTGCATATTACAATAAAAAAATGATGTAATTATTATGTAACGATAGATTTTTGATAGGTATATAAAATATTTTGTTGAAATTATTCTAAATTATCAAAACTATTTGTTAAAATTAATATATATAATATATATTTATACTCATTAAAATGAAATTAATTCTACATTAGTTGTACAAAAGATATGCACAATTTTTTATTTCGGAGCTTAAGACCTTGTATCAACCTATTCGCCTATTATTTCGTGTAAGTAAATTATAAAATAATTACTGAAAATTAACCATTTTTAGATGCTTTTTAAACTAATAATAATAATAAATCCATAAAGTTTAATGATTAAAATCATTTAAAAAAACACATTTTAAAATTACAAATTAAAATTTTATTATTTTTGTAGAAAATTAAAATTCAAAAAATTATTTGCTTGGTTTGTTCTCGAGTTCTGTAGTTCTGTAGCTAAAAAAGCATTCATGCAAATCAATAGCTCAATTAGTTTTACAATAACATCAGTTAACGACTGACTTTCCATTAAAAGCTGTGAAATAATAATATAAAAAAATGTACATACATAAATTTCCTATAGAAATACATATGTATGTATAACAATTCAATAACAATATACTGCAGTTGTACTAGATTAAAATAGCTGTTGAGTTAGTTTCTATTATTATTATTATTATTAGCTTTAAGTTATCTGAACTGATTTTATGATAGCACTTAAATCTAACACAGACGGTTCTTCAATATGAAGGGGCAATAAAAGCTATTGAAATTACTTTGAAGTTATTTTTTAAATGAAGTGTTTTAGATTAATCTATTCAATCGAACTGGTTCTAACACACAGACGTTACCATAAAGCTTAAATGGAAGTCAAAAGTCTAAGATTTAGGGATAACGTATATAATACAGTAGAAACTCTATGAAACGGGCACTTATTGTTGATCAACTTTTGTTGTGTCATTCAACTAGTTATGTAAAAAATATAACGTACGATTATGACTAGGTCTATCAACACATTAATCTATTTAATCGCACTATATTCTAATCCCTAATTGCTACTTTTAATCGTTATTTATAACAAGATTTATTTAATGAGTTTAATACTTTAATTTATAACTTTTTATATATGTATAGAGATCTATTTTATTAATATTGTGAACTATTTTATAAATACATATTTCAGTCTTGATTTACTATATGCTTAACAGGGTCACTTATCAAAGATATACTATAAGATTTAGATAAGATTTTTTTTTATTGTATTATTGCAAATTTACACATTTTTTTAAACTGTGTAAAAAGTATTTATATTTTTTTACGCTTAATTCTAAAATAAAGAATTAAGCGTTTCTTTTTGTTAACTATATTTCAGCCATAATGTAATTTATTCCTAATTATTCTAAAATTTAACTTGAAAGCGACATAGACTTTAATGAACTTTTTAATGTGACTGGGACTAAAAGATACCAGTCACAAACTATCTCCAATATATATTGTATATGTAATGTTTAATCTAAAATAAAATTAATTTAATATAAAATAAAATATAAATAGAAAATAAATTTAAATTTAGAATTGATTTAAAAGATTAGATTTAAAATCATTTATGCCGTGAACTGGACTACTACAAGCATTTTGTTCGGTTGGTTATAACATGTCTTCATTACGCTGACTTATCTTGATAAATTAAACATAATTTTCCGTTTATCGCTGATATCTATACCACACAAATCGTGTTAAAACAGCTGATAGCAATGCTGCTTATTTTGCCGTGTATAATCGATAAAGTAATAGTTTCGTTTATATTTGCGTATCCACCGAATACGCTATATTCGGAGAAATCGATATATTTTCGACCTAAAAGTCAGTTTACATACATTCTAATTAATAAATCTATTCTATTTCATTTTGATTTCATTTTTCTATTCTATTTATTTTAAAATTTATATTCCAATAGAATAGTATATAATAGAGCGAAAATATTAATCCATATTTGGAAAACTCAAAAACGCAATTGATCAAAAATTAAATAGAATTTTAATATAGAATATAGAATTTTAAACTTTACTTAATATAATAATAAAAATATCTATTAAATTTTACAATTTAATCATTTTATTGTTTTAAATTTTGACAAATCTGCTTTTTTTTACTTCTTACCGTGTGGCTATGTTCAAACTTACGTACATTTGTGAATAATCGGTTTTTATTTTCTTAGAAAGCTTTTCTAAGCAACCCTGTCTTAACCCTGGTAGTAAAATATTTACCTTAATAAATTCACAACTACAATTGCACGTGTTTTTTATATTTTGTTTTAATATTAAACCCTATTTTATCATAATGTAAAAATTAAATTGGCTTATAAAATGCCACTATTGACAAATCCATACTATTTTTTTAAATGCAACCTTCAATTGATATGTGTCAAAATTTTATGATAATTTGACTTTTAGTTGACAAGTTATAGTCATTTCGCTGACATTACTTAATTAATTTTTAAAACAATGAAGAAACTTAAGTTTCGTGTGTAAATAAAGCATTGTATTTTGATTGTTTAAATTGCCTTTCTCGACTTTGTTCATTTGTAGATAAATGAAGAAAAGTGATATGCTGATTTTGAAAGATGGCTATCAAATTTGATAATACTGAATCCTTTGGTCACTTGAACTCGTAAGTTGTTCCAGAAAACATATAAGTGAGACCACCCTACAATGACAGAATTTGTGTTTAGTTTTTACTATGAGAAAGCTTAGGATTGGCTCCAAGAATCATATTTTTAATAAAATTTTAAATATAAAATATTTTTTTAAAAGTTAATTAATGCAATAAAAATTTTTATGTGAGTTTAGCTATTTAGGTTTGGATTTTTTAGCTAAAACTTTTTTCGGATAGCTTTTTTAACACTGTAGATCTTCATTAATCTTAAAAAAGTGAAATAAATAGTATTGATAAATACTAAATTAGTAAATAGTAACTGACAACTTAAAATGACAGAAGATTGTGTTTAGTACACACCATCAGTGTGGGGTGTAGGTTGGGTCCAGGGATCATATTTTTAAGAACCAAATTACAAGTAATTTAATGTAATAAGATTTTAACTTTTATAAGATTTTAGTTATTTGAATATCCACTTGTGAGATATCAACGATATTGGTTAATGCCTTTAAAATCTACTTTAAATGTTATTTAATGGATCAAAAATTCTTATTTGATTTCAGCTATTTAGATATTAATTTTTCAGATATCGATGATATTGGTTAATGCCTTTAAAATCTACTTTGTTATTTAATTGACTAAAAATTCTTATTTGATTTCAGCTATTTGGATATCCATTTTCCACATGTTGAAGATTTTTTGGCTATTTTTAAACTTTTCTTTGACACTTTATATCTCTATTAATATTATAGTATTTTGTTTAATAAATTAGCTAATTTTTTTTTTTTATTAAATCTTTTCTTTGACACTTTATATCTCTATTAATATTATGGTGTTTTTGATTGATAAATCTGTGGGAACTTTTTCGAAATGCACTCTTAGTGTATTTTTCACTTTACTTTTGTAAATCTGAGACAAAATGTAAAACACTCGAGATTAATTTATAACACTCTAGATATATGCCAAAGATTACCCTGAAATTAACAGCTGTTTTATATGATTTGACAGATAAATTGTGATTTGATTCGATATATGTATGTATGAAAAATATAAATATCTACAACAAAATTTGACAGATCGAGAGTAAATCTAAATTGAATCCAGATTGACTAATCGAATACGCCATTAGAAAAGTGAAAATATCTTATGTGAAAGTTTTTTTAACATTTTAATGGAAGCTCTTCCTGTATTTATGTCGCTCCGTTAGAAATTACCCTGTATTTATTATAATAAATTATAGTCTAAGGTATAATTATTTTATATTTTTATATAAATTGATTTTCTATAAAAAAAACTTTTTTTTGTTGTTGAACTATAAATTATAATATATAAGTTTTCATAAAAAAAATTCCGATTCTAATTTATTATTAGTATAAATTACATATTTTGCGCTTCATAGCTATTAAACATTCATAAATCATAATGAAAGTAAGTCAATGTGTATATACATTTTTTTCTTAATTTAAAAGCAACTATCAATAAAAAAATGTTAGCAAATTATAAATATAAAGCAATTAATTTTTTGCTTTTTATATTTTTTTATTTTAAATTGTTTTTTTTTTTTAATTTTTTTAATTTTGTACTCACCAATCTGACAAAACGTTATGGTTGTTGCGCGTCGCTTGAATTTACACTTGCTAGGCTGTAAAGCTAGCTAGCAGCGGTATATGGAAGCACCTTTGTGGTAATTTCCCAAAAACAAGAAGAAAAAAAACGACGAAAAACAAAAAACAATTTGTGGTGAGAAATTATTCAAAATTTATTTTCTTTTTCTATTAGCTAAAATATAGAAAAAGTAAATATAAAAAAAAAACAAATTGCTTTCATATTTTAATAAATTTATTTACGATACACGCACGCCAGTTTATGCTATGAGAACGCGGGGTGGTGGGTGTTATATCGATGACATGCGTTATGACGTAGTTTTTACTTCAAAAATATTATATTCTGTATTTTCAATTTGTGTAAATAATTTTATTAAACAAAATAATTTATTAAATAAAATACTGGGCGCGGTGTTATTTCGCAATTACAAAGAAATAAAATAATAAATGAGTTTGTTCCTTTTATTGTTTTTTGGTATCGCCTTGCCTTTCATACTTGTTTTTAAAATCGAAAAGCAGCAACAAGAGACGCGGCACTAAATTTATTAATTTACATAAATTACTAATTAAAATTTATTTCCATTTATTTTAAATTATTTTAATATATTAATATAAAAAAAGTATTAATTATTCTGAAAACAAAGTAATTCACAATTTTTTATATTTTTATTTGAGTATATATATCTTTTCTTTACATCACTCACTTTGCCTTCGATGCACCAAAATTGTTGGAGGAAGCAAAAAATTTTCTCTTCTTTTTTTTTTTGCATACACTTCGCGTACTTGAATACAAAGAAATATTTGAAAATGTATTTAATGTACTATATAAACATTTTTATGTTAAGATTTTTTTATATATTGAAAGCACAGATCTTTAATAATGTTTTCTGATAAAATTCATATATTTTTACACTAGTTTTTCATTATTTATTTAATTTTAACTTAAGCGTTAAGTCAATTCGCGCACTCTACGATTCAACAAAACAGGCAATGACGACCATTTTGAAACTGAGTGCAGGGTTACTATACTCGCTGTTTTTAGTACTTTTTAGTACATACTAAATTTTGGTACTACGATGACAATTTATAAATGTTACTATTTATTATAATATAAATTAATATTATTATAAGTTATTGTTTTAATGATCAAATTTTATTTATATTTATTTGAACAAGCTAATCGGTCAATTGTTTGATTAAAACACCACCATTTAAAGTTTATAGCAATAATTCAAAATATACAACAAAAAAATAGTTACACAATATAAAAACAATCAAAAGATTGTTCTGTCCTATGTATTTGCCGTTTGACTGTTATTGTATTTTATAAATATTTCTCTATCGTTTGTATCAAAATGTTGCTAAATTATAAACATTAGAATTATAAATAATATGTACTATGACTACGGATCATTGTCACATCATTGATAAAAGTAATATGTACATATATATTTTTTAAAAAAAATTTATAAAGTTGTTTGTTATGTAAACAATTAACCCATTGACAAATATATGATAACTACGTATAATTATTTGTTTTTGTATGCTAACGAATTAAAATGTGTCACATTAGAATATATAATAAAATTACAAGAATTTAATTATATATAAAAGAAAATATATAAATATTTAAAAGTATAAAACCAGTTTTACGTTGCATATACAACACCAATTTGACACGTGACAATCACAATCTCTTATAGAGATAATTAAATTGTGATTTAATTAAGTCTAGTTATATCATACGTAGTAATTGGACTTTAAGTGTATAAAATGTACTAGCTCAATATTCGTTCATGTCATGTAAGATATAAACTTTTCTTATTTTTGGACATTTGTTTTTAAAATAAGTTTTCAAATAAATTTATGTAGAGACGTTTCTGTGCAATTACGGAATGTCTCGCAATAAATTCGTCAAATTTTGAATTTTAATGTAGAATATAGAGAAAAGTTATCACTAAGTGCCGATTAACAATTCTATTGGAAAATAGAATAGCAATAAGCATGTAAGCGTTGAAATCATCTGAAGTATTGAAAATTATTGGGAGTTAATAAGACAAAAGTCTATTAATTTTTTTTTTGAAATTTTGCTATTTTTGAAAAATCAAATGTCACCAATATATTTGAATCACTTTTCTTATAGCAGCGAGAGCATAAATGAGTGGTTGTCAGGATTCGCAAAGTTGGGATTACTGGTTTATCTAAAAATAATAGATAATGGACTTAATAATAAACTATAATTTTTAACTTTGTATCAAGGGAATAACTTATAGGATTTGATCAACTATTAGTTAACATATTGGTAAAAGAGAAAATAGTTTTCAATATTTGCTTCACTTTACCGAATTATAATCTCCAATTAAGATTTTGTTATTTGAAAACTATCAAAGATCAAGGATTTCAAAGTTATCTGTGAATGATCCGACCTTTTACGTATCCCAGCTTTCTTTAGTGTAATGATGCATTATTCTCCTTTCAAATAACGACTTCACAATTGAAACTTAAAACTTAAAATAGACTTAATGGTGAATTTAGTCAGCAAGCATAACATAAGTCATTATTGAGAAATCGACCTTTAACTACAAAAAAAAAAACTCTTTCTACACTTAAATTCTTTCTGATCTTCAGCGTTAATTTTATGGTGACTCTTATTTATTGAAATATATTAAAAAATATAAGTATATATAATTTAAATAATATACAAAATTCGAGAAAATTTATCACATTGTTATGCCAGCACATTGTAACATTTTATATTTATTCATTCAGTTACAAATCTTGAAAAACTCTTAAAACGCTTTTAGTAACTATAATAAAACATCATTTGAGTTTGTAAAATATTGCCACGACTGTAAAACTACTAAAAATTAAAAAAAATTAAGTTTTTACTATAAAAATTGGTTTGTGTACAGGCTAATGACATTTGAAATGTCCATAAGACATGATAATGAATATTATTTTATATAGGCGTTATTCACTCTTAAAATAATTTTTAGTTATTAATAATTTTAATAAACACATTTTTAATAAATATTGTTGCAATAAATGTGTATATATATTGTTGTGTATATACCATATAATTAATATCAGTTATTGCCTGAATTATTTAACAAAAGTTGGTAACTCTATTAAAAAGAAAAGAGAAAATTGACAGAGAAAAAATGCGAATGCCGCCGTAAAAATTTTTAATGCTTGAGTTTCGTTTAGAATTTTGTGCGAATTGGTTGTGTTGTGATATCAAATCCGAAAAAGAAAATTTATTAAAAAATTGCTTGATAAATTTTATAATAAATCAGTATTTTTAAAAATTACATACAATAATTGTTACCAAGCCAAGTTTTCATGTGAAACGCATAGAATTTTAATTCATAATTTTGAAATATTTAGCTTTTGTGGAGTGCAACGACCTTGAATGTTGTGGCAAAGCTATTTTCAAGCCAAAATATTAAAAGTTTGTAAAAAAAAGTTTAGTTTTTTTTGCTAAAATAATTGTTCTAAAATAAATTAAAGCCGCCAAAAATTATTTACTGGCGGTCCATATTTGAGTAAGCGCAAAAAAATCAAAAAAAAAAAAAAGAATTATCACCAAACACGGCAAAAATAATAACAACAACAATCACAACAACAAAATTTCAATAAGAAAAAGTAAACAAAGCAGAAGTAGAATGGCAGAGGAAGCAACTTTGGAACACGGCGGTAAGCAATTTACCATATTTCTAAAGTGATAAATTTATATATAATAAATTTATAATATATTGTTAGTTTAGGCATATTTACTGAAATTAATTATTGTTAAAAATTGCATAAAATATTTAACTTACCAAAAATTTATCTAATAAGATTTTTCTAATCGCAACAGAGCAGGTGGCAGAGCGGTCTGCCGGAAGTAATTCACAGGATTTAAATGGAAACTTTTTAGAATTAGATTTTTCTTATTAGTTTTGGTTTTTAATATTTAATATTTTTTTAATTTAATTTTTAATCAAAAAAGTTTAATACGATAGTGACTTATGGCGTTTTCGATTGGTAAATATGGAGTAACTTTTTTAATCCAGACACTTTTAGTGCTATTTTTATTTTCGATTGGTAAATATGTATAACACTTGAGAATATTAATGTATAACACTTGAGAACATTAATGTATAACACTCGGGAACATCAATGTATAACACTCGTGATTAATTTATAACACTCTAGATATTTTGTCAGAGTAGCAAGTTTACCCTGAGATTAACAGCTGTTTTATAAGATTTGACAAATAAAAGAGTGTAATTTGTTTCCACATAAATATTTCCAATTTGTTTGTTTATGTATTTAACTGTTAAAAAAAAATTTATAAATTCAAAATAATAGTACATTTGCAGATGAAGACATATTTTTTTTTTGTGGAAAGCATCACAGTATAAGACTAAAACTTCCAACCACCAGCTCGGCGTTTAGTTCGATGCACATTTCTACCAGTAGGCTTTTTATTTTGCTTCAATCAATGTCTTTATTTTTTCCTTGTCAGTTTAAACAGATTATCTAGAACGTAATACATCTTCAGTATCAAAAAAACTGTACCAGTTTTTATACTGAAGTTTTGTCAATAATATACAATGAAAAGAAATTGCTACTCGTAATATGATACGAGTAATTAGTAGTCTAAAAATCTTTCCGTAAAATCATGGAAAGACGATCCTCTTTAATAGAATAAAGCTGAAGATCTTGACAGGTTATCTCACGATCATCAAGTGTTATGTTACTATTTCAATAAAATGGGTTTGTCACAGGAGATCAGGTATTACTTTTTGAATCAACTGAGATCACTAGTCATGTGCCCTATGATTGTTGTGATGCAGAAGAAAAGTAGTGAGCAGGAGAAAAAAATTGAGATAGGAGAAAAGTATTGAGCTAAATAAAGTTTAATAAAAAAGCAGAGTTTTGGAACAGAAGAAGAGTAATAGGGCAGGAGAAAAGTGATGGGTTAGGAGTAGTATAATGGGAAAGAACCTTCGAAAATCTAAAATAAGTACCTACTATAAATGTCCTCAACGAGAGGATCCTCATCATTTGAAGAGTCGAGTGTCTTCTGTTCTCGAGTGATATTTGTTAGCACAAAAGATCCGCAATAGTCGCAGTATTCCGCTAAGCGGTTAGCTTCTATTTATCTATACTTTCGTAGGAGATAAGGAAAATGATGCAATGATTATTACTTAACATTTAATTATTTAAACATTTGAGCGTCATTTAAATTTACTTCGCCAAATCCTCTCTTGCTAAACATATATCTATAATAAATCTTTTAATAAGATTACTGAAAAAAATAAATAATTTATTATCTTAATATATTATTTATATAACAAAATTAGTTAAAATAACGTATCATATAAAAAATTCTATAAAAAAGGTTTTTTAATGATTTTGTCACGATTTGGTGCTTTTTTCCATTATATTCAATATCCATTGATTAACTATGAAAATTCTTAAATCCAATTAATAAATTTTACTGATTCGTTGCAATATCTACGAGTATATATACAGTATATACAGTATATATAGTTTTTACATATATTTAATTGGTGTGTGTATATTAAAGGTAGAATTAAGATAGAAAGTCATGGGAAATACCCAGTAAAGGTTGTAAACCAACTAACTGTTTCGGATTCTCAATAATTTATAAAATATAATTTATATGCAGCTTAAAGTTAATAAATGCATCATGTGATAAAAGTTTCCGAGAATTTTAACAAATTTTCAATTGTTTCACTAATAAATTTTTAATACGAACTAGAAGGTTAACTTTGATAATGCCGAAGCTTCAATACCTTTTAAGTATTTTATTATTATTTTCTATTTAATTACTACATTTTTTCAATTATATTTGAAAAATATAATTGCTGTTTGACGTCAAATTTAATACAAAACTCTTTATATACACATCATATTTTATTCGATAGCTATTTTATATTATAGGATCTTCATTATATCGTTCCCTATATCGGAGCTTCATATTATCTATTCAAGACCTTGGTCTATTAAATTCAAAAGAGTTTCATTTGAAAACTGCTGAAGTTAAATTAGCTTTCTTATTACATTGTTTCTTAATAAATAAGTAATCACTAAAAAATCATATGAGAAGAGTGCCTTTTTAATACTAATTATGATATAGAATGGTAAAAAAAGTATATACAGATAAACACTAAGTATTTATATTTTTAAGTATAATTTCATTCAACATTCGCACTTATATCAACTATTCTCCAATTTATGAATCTGATTTTTGTAGTAGCTTTCCAGAACGTCTGCAAAATATACCTCAGCGTTAATTATTACCTCTTTGTTTGATGAAAATCCTTTCTGAAAGAATATTTTGAGGTGCTAGAAGTAATCCAGAAATAATTTCTTGTGTTAATGATATGCAATGATATAGAATTTATCATATGCAATGAAAGAATTTTGTGAGATGTGAGAATAGAGCCGCAACTTTGGCCAATAGATTTTTATTGTAACAATTTATACTTCAAATAAACGATTTTATCTATAATTCGTTAAAGCTATGTGAACAGGTTCATTGTCTTAATAGAAAATAAATTTTTCTTCAGTAAACCGAAAATTTTTTTTAAAGACATTGAAGCTGAAGAGTGTAGCTTACACCATTTCTTAGGGTCTTGTTCGATTAGGCTAATGATGATGGATCAAAAACTCATCCAAAGTGATAACCTCGATGCGTGTTCCTTCTTATCGTTTCTAAGACGCTCCAATTGTTACTATATTCACATTCTAGTCACATTCTAGGCAGATTTCTGCAGACGAACTTACATTGAAGCCAAATAGTCGGGTTCACATCATTTCTTAGCCTCTTGTTTTAATTTAGGTTAATGGTGTTAGACTATGACTCATCTATAGTAGCGAATGCGGTGCAGGAAAACTTTTTTATCCGTTCTAAGACACTTCATATCTTATTATGTGGTCTTCACCCAAAGCTTGAAATAAAATATTACTTACTATGTCTAATAGAATGACTTGAGCTTCTATTAAATCTCTCTCGGTGAATGAAGAGCTTCCAACCTTTTGTCATATTCTTATTACATTCTTATAGGTAATTTCTTACGAAAATGAAGGCAGTAACCTCAAATTAATGAGTTTAAAATGTATGCAATTTTGATGTCTTAATTTTTTCACTTTGACAAGATAATATTTTCAATTAAAAGAATTTTCACAAGCGCTTCTATGGGTTTAAATCAGTTTGTATTTTGCTTGAAGGAAAGCCCTTCAAGTGAAGTGAATTGTGTGACCTTTTATTTTTACTAACTAAATTTGTACTTAAAATGTAATTTAATATAGGCCGCACTATATGAATAATCCATAAAAAAAAAGAAATGTTTGAAAGGGTTAAAAGCAGTCTTTTCTTCCAGCATTATCCAAAAATTTTCTTTCCCAACCGAAGGTCGTTTAACGCTTTTAAAAATAAAAATAAAAATGCATGTACTTTTTAAATTACCACGAATTGGCGCACTTAAATCAGATACATTTTGTGTAAAACGTTTATTTTTACATTTAAATTGACTGATTTAAAAACAATAAAAATGAAATGTTTATATAAAACATAAATGCCCAAAGTGAAATTCTTAAATTAAAAATTCTAAAGTACTTCTTTATTTGATGTAAAAGTATTTGCGCGTCCTTACACTACACACAAACAATACGAGTGTTTTAAATTTTTGCAAAGCTATGTATGTAAGAGAGTGTTGTTTAAAAAGAAAAATTCTCAGGAATATCAGTGCCCTGTTTATTCAAAAAATATACTAGTGTGTTCACTTCCAAGCACTGATTCTAAATATTTTGCGTTGTCCAGGCTATTGAGACATTCAACACCTTGGTTGTAGAAATACCAAATATATCAGAGGGGCAAAACTGTTTTAAAAACTAATTCCATCTAATGCACAAATCGAATTGATCATCATGAAGAGTAACTAATGTGTTGTTGTTGGGCGCAAAACTTAAAAGGCATTCCTCATAAGAATTAAGAACAATGTAACAGCTCATTCATGTAATTTGTTCTTCTTCAACTGCGTGGATTGCTTTTAATATAACCTATTCTATTCGCCACTTGGACAGCAGAGGAAACTCTGTTACCACTCCAACCCACCAATTATGAAGTACTACCCATTCACCGTATTCACCAGATTTGACATTTTTATCTATATTCAATATCTAAAAAATTGCTTTCTAGGTATATAAATAAATCAGTAGAATTTTTACAGAGTCTCTATTCCAGCTTATAAATATTTAAAGATCCTCGAAGAAATCTATTTTTTATAGATATATAACATGGATTATCGTTGCAGTATAGATTAAAGTAGACAATATCCAAAAAATAAATTTACAAAAACTATTTAAATTTTACTCATTTAATTTGTCACTGACTTATTAAGCAGCCCTTGTAGAGTATGGTAAAATGTTTAATTAAATAATTACGATTTATATCATTTTAATATGATTTAGGTCCTCACAATCTTAAAAAACTGTCACCAACACTGCTCCTCCCCACTACTTTGGTATGTTGTGAACATGCGTAATTTATCTTTAAAATTTCTATTATGTATTTAATATTTTCTTTGATGTCAAAGAAGATTTTCTATAGGAAATGAGAAATCTTGATAGCATTGCCTTCATTAAAAAAGGAAAGTTTCCGTCAAGATAGTATAATTCAA